GGGCAGGGGTTGGGGGAGGCTGGGGGAGCAGGCAGGGGTCCTCCCTGCTTCTCCAGCCCCCCTCCACTTACCAAAAATCCTTCACCAATCCCTCTGTACTTATTACAAATATTAATGAACTATTCTTTGTGGCATCACCTGAAGTACAGTGGAACTTCTCTCCACTTTAAAGAGAGGTTATGTGACACACCAAAAGCTGCATAAACAGGATTAAAACCCCAAATTCCCCTGCACTAACTGCTGTGCCTGGTCTCATCCATGTGGAGGACTCAAACGCCAATAAGGCCCATTATGGGTGTTACATTTCCGCATTCATTTGAAATAAAGTCAGTCAATATCATGTCTCAGAGTCTGTATACAAGATGAAGGAATAAGGACGTGAAATTAACTACAATAGACATTTACAACACAAATCCAATAAACTGACCAGGCTGTGTGATTTATGACATTTTAATAATATAAACATGTAATCGTTATTGATCCTTAGGGCCCAAGTCTGAGACTATTAATAACACGCATAATAAGATGTTATATATTGTACACAAACTCATACATTAATCTAAGCAACAAACAGCAAAGCGGAACATAAAACTAAGACGTGCTGATGGAACAGCGTTGATCATTTGTGTTGTTCAGCACTCTGTGATACATCTAGCAAAGCATATTTCACCTTCCGTGTAGGAGTAGCACTGGTGTAAACTCTAATGACCTCTTTTTGCAAGGCCTGTGACACTCAGGCCCTCTCAGAGGTCGAGAGAGGCCCGGGCCGCTTCCATTTTTTGACGCTCAAAAGACAATGCAATAATTTGTAATAAATGTTCCTTTTTTATTTAACAAGTGCTTTTCTAGCTTTTTTCCTTCTTTCAAACCTGTCAGTGTATCTCTGTGTCTGTATGTATAACCTCATTTGGAGATAATGTCAAAAGTCTAAATTTGAGGCCCTCCGTAAATGAGAGGCCCGGGCCAAATGGCCCTCCTGGCCCCCCCCTGGTGACACTCGGTGCTTTTCCTGTACCTCCAGCCCCAGAATTATTGTATAACCTAAGGGGCATCTATATACATGTGCTCTGGAGTTGGGGGGGGGGGGGGG